ATCAACATCTCCCAACCCATACACTCATAGATTTCATGGAATGATACCAGGCTTCGTGATCTGACCACCGCTAAACTTTTCTCCAAGCTGATCGTCCTATGTCACAGTGAACATTCCTCAACAAAGAAGGCAGTGGTTCGGCGGGTGCAACATACATGTCCCCTAGGCATCTCTAAATCCATGCAACTTTCTCCAAATACCTAACTTCTTTATTATTGACCATATATATGTGTAGTACCATTTAATGCACAATAGATAAAGCTGAAACATGTTTAGCACAGTTAAGTCAATCCAAGTATAAAAGACTTACTGAATTTGGTGAATTATTGATCTGACCTGAGTAAAGTTCATTTTTCACCTAATTACAAGAGAGACAGAGAGAGAAAAAGTGTAGGAATCCATTAATTTCGCATAAACAAAACTGAATGAACAACTTTAGCGGAATTACACTAAGCAAATAAAATGTATACACCCAATATACTAACATCCCGTATCACTAACTATATATATATACAGAGAGGGAATTAAAATTAAATATTACCTAAACCCTTATCAACTTCACTCAACAGCTATATTACAATGACACGCACATCAAGTGATTCACAACAGGAAATCTCAACGAAGCAATTAAACTGAAGACAGGAAGGGCAAGACTAGGCTGCCTGCCTGTCTGTCTGTCTATTATCACCGATGATATTCCTAATTGCGGTGAACTGAATCATGCGATGGATCGTTGGGAATGAGAAGAAAGAATCAACTAAAACGACTCCAGAAGATCTCGACTCCGTTGATTATTAGTGTCTAATGCCGCATAAACTCGAAGATCTACAAGCGAAAACCAACAGGCAGGCGGTGAAGACAAGACTTCAAATGTGAACACAGTTTCGAAGTCGATAACCCAAAACAGATTTTTTAGGTACCAGGTTAAGAGCCATATTCATTGTGTGAGGGCTGATTATTATTATTATTGTTTCCTTAGATTCCTAGACGAACATAGGGCTTCAGCTGTACGTCTCCATTGCGTTCGGTTCTCTGCAGAAGTTTTCACCTGGCTCCAAGTCTGCCCACACGCTTTCATCTCCTCTTCACATGACCTCCTCCAAGTCACCCTTGGACGACTAACTCGCCGCTTCCCTTTCGGGTTCCAATCGAGCGATGGCTTATCTAGTGATGTCACTTGATGGTTACCACAGAGTATGGCCAATCCACCTCCATTTCTTCTTGCCTATTTGTTGTACAATTGGTTCCTGGTTGGTTCGCTCCCAGAGATCCCTCTCTGTTGCTGATCTTTTCTGGCCATCTGATCTTGAGTATTGAGCGAAGACAACTGTTGATGAAGGTTTGTAGTTTGTTTGAGGTGCTCTTTATGACGCGCCAAGTCTCTGATCCGTATAGTGAGTAGCACTGACTTCACATTGGAGTTGAAAATCCGGATCTTATTTTTCATGCTGAGTGCTGTTGATCTCCACACAGACTTGAGAGTAGTGAAAGCTTGTCTTGCTTTTCCGATTCTTGCTTTGATATCCTCGTCAGTTCCACCTGTAGTTGAAACGATGCTTCCCAGGTAGGTAAAAGAGGTTGTTTCTTTCAGGTTCCTTCTATTTATGCTGATTGTTGTCTGTTGTTGCCCAGGAATCTTCATCATCTCTGTTTTCTCTATGTTTACCTGAAGTCCTATATTTGATGCTTCTTCTGCCAACTTGTTGCTTTTCACTTCTATATCTTCAAGTGGTACTGATGGTACTATCAGTTTACTCAGGCTGAAGTAGATGGAGTGAGACTTTAAGTCGTGACCCATCAGCTGACCACCTACCTTCAACACTATGGTGTGCAGCACCCCAAATCTTCATTAATCTCATTCAACAGCTGACTATATGACAATGCCATATGTCAGGTGATCCACAATGGAAAACTCAGCGAGGCGTTCGAAGTGAGTACAGAAAGGCAGCCTGCCCACTATCACCCACGATTATATTCGCAGTTGTGGTGGACTGGATTATGCGTCAGACTGTACACAGGGAGTGAGAAGACAGGAATACTTTGGACCACCGATAACAAGACTCTAGAAGATCTGGATTTCAAAGATGATTCATGTTTAATATCACACAAACGCGAAGACCTACAACCGAAAACCAACATACTGGCTAGAGAAGCAGGTAGCGAAGACAGGACTCCAGGTGGACATAGAGAATGTGGAGACGGAGGTGATGAAGATAGCGACAACAGCACCAATCACTATCAACGGGAGAGATTTGACGGAGATTACTTCCTTTACTTATTTAGGAAGTATTGTTTCAACCACAGGCACACGGCAGGGATGAAGATGTGAAAGCCAGCCAGAATCGGAAAGGCAAGATACGCCTTTATCAACCTGAAACCATTATGGAAATCTGCTCCACCCAGTCAGCATAAGGAACAAGATTCGGATTTTCAACACAAATGTGAAGACAGTCAGTCACTGCTGCTATACGAGTCAAAAACTTTCACTGCGTGTGTGTCCCGAAAAGGATTTCCAACAGCTACCTTCACTGGCTCCATAGTGAAGATCATATAGCCGGGCGGGCAGAAAGAATTAACGAGAAACTGGCAAAAACACCAATCAGGCGCCGACTACTCAACAATTATGTAGGAGAAAATGGGGATGGATCGGGCATACGTTGAGGAGATCATCGAATGACACCGCGCGCAATGCAGACCGTCACTCGAGCGGAATCTCAGTGGGAAGCAACGAGTGGGTCGTCGGGGCGAGAGTCACATGATGGAGATTGTGTGGGGAGGAGATGAGATTATGGGCAGTTGTGGACCCAGCTGAAGAGGACAGCAGAAAAAAGTGTAGATGCATTGTTGAAGCCCTATGTTCCACTCGGAACCAAAGTGAATAATAATAATAAAGACTGGATTCATCTGTGCTATTAAGATAAAAATCTAAGTCATGTCACCGACGATCCCGAGCTATTTACTTCTTAGCATTTAACTGCAGTACTCCTTGAGATACTTGAGATTTAATACCTGGAATCTGTTAGTGACATGACTAAACTAGTTCTCAATGGCGAAGATGCATTCACATTTTGTGAACTGCTAGATTCATTAAATTTTCATTACTCTGTGCGCTTACTGTTTTTCCTGAACATCTCCGTCCATTGTAGTGTTCCTTTGTATCTCCATGTGTATATGGCAATAAAGTATGGTAGCTTGAGCTGTTCCACTTCTGTGTAAAGTTCTACATTGAAACTCAGACAGTCAAAGACCACTGACTGATTTCGACGTAGAACTTTACACAGAACACGGTGGAACAGTTCAAGTTACGACACTCTACTTGGCACAAAAAGCAAGAGAAGAGAGTAGAGAGAGATTCAAAGGAGAAATAATAAACAGAGATATGAGGCGAAAAGAATAGTCATATGGAAGAACAAGAGAATTTCATTAGATATTATGAATCACAAGGAGTGGATGCATATGCGCCAGCCATTGACAACGATGTCTTTGAGCCATATCACCAGTTCTCCAGCCATTGGTTTTTACCATCCCGAGGGCCCCAACCAGTGAGGAAGTCTACACCTCCCTATGTGGCTACCTAGCTTAAACTAACTGTTATGGATTTCATTGACTGGTGAAGCCATGTTTTCGTTTAACCACCACTGGCTTTTTGCCAACCTGATCCTATGTCAGCTAACAATGCCCGTTGTCGAGGAAGGCGATCGATCAATGGCTAGACATGCGTGTGTAACACATATCCTAACCAACTCAATCGGTGTAATTTCACAACCTCATGGATTGATTTCCCCTCCTTACCTCACTGACTGACACTCGACCGATGCCTAACCGTAATGTTGCTCACTTTGTTATACCACTTAACACGGGAGATAGAATGCAGATGATAGCCGGTCTTTTCATGTTAACAGTGGCGATTTCTTTCAAAAGGCTCATATTTTAACAACAGTAATATAGACAAAATGACAGCTAGATACGAACAGTACGTATTCGTGATATCTGAGCTATAGAGAGAATTATATTAGAAACTAATGTTAAACTAGTGTTTAAAAAAACACTCGTGTGCGTGTGGTGAGCTGTTTTCAGTTTTAATCTACTAGTAAAGAATCACCTCTGCTGTTGAACTCTCATCATAAACTAGTGACAAGTGTCGACAACAAAAAAGAACCAAATCCAACTCTAAAATGAAGCACATGAATACGACTGCAGGTGAAACAATTTTGCACCCCCAGTCATCTAAGTCTGACTGAGTTTCAACATAGAATTTAGCACAAAAGTGCAATAGCTCATGTTGCCACAATCCATGCAGCGCACAAAGGTAGACAAAAGAGATATAGAGGAAAAGAGATTCGAAAACACGATAATAAGCAGAAATATGGAGGGAGAAAGAATATTAAAATGGAAAAACATGAAGTGTGCGAGATTACAAAAAGTGAATGAAACTTCATTATTCAAAACGATATTGATCCGTATCACCAATAGTCTCGAGAAGAAAACTTTCTCTTGATTTAATGATATCACACTTCTGAAAAATAATTAAAAAGTCTTATCTTTCCAAAGCTACCACAGCACTTTTGTTCTTTTAACCAATGAGTCATAGCTTAGAAATCCTGCTTTTTGGTCAACTACATACTAGATCTGCGACTCATTGCCATCGTTGCTAGTTGTTAATCAACAAAAACGAGGCAATCAATAAGTAGAAACAACCTGATCACATTCCCAATAAGTGGTGTCATCCCTGAAAGAAAACACAAAATGGTAACTTAACCCCAGTTGTGGTAGAGCTACACCAACTAAAACACTGTTTAACACCATATGTCAGTATTTGGGAGTCAAGAGACTGAGCCACTAAAAGACTTGTTTATGTGCATAAGATCAGTACTTAAACGCTTCAGTTTTTTTCAGGGCTGATCACAAACTGACTTCAGACAGAGAATCCATGGAGTACTGCACAGCTGTTTCAAGGGGTTTGTCGGTTCTAATCTCCGTGGGGTGATGAATGCATACTGCTGAACAGTCTGGAACTAGGATGAAGCAGCTGCCCAGTACTCTTTGCTGTTTTTCAGTGATTCTCTAACTGAATTCATTTTGTGACCAATGTTCAAATCAAGTTGATATGATATGATTATGAGCAATAGTTTATGTTCGAAACGTCATCAGTTAATATTACTGTACAACACTGTGATTTATCAAAATAAAATCTTATCCATAATGGAGTTATGCTCTACCACAGTGCCCAAGTTTTATACTTATATCAAGAAGTTAGAATGTATGTAAGGTGATCTGATGTAGCACTGAATTACAAAGAGTGAGGAAAAACTTACATTTTTTCTTTGTGATAACTGCCACATTACATATACCTTCTGGGACTTCATAATTATTTACGGAAGAGATTTCAAGTTGAAAGTCACTTCCACTACTATTGTGATTTTAGAATAAGCGTAAAAGCCTGCTTAACTTCTTCACGCACACACATACACACACTAATTACTACATTGTCACCTAAATGAGTGAATTAATATACTCCGGAAGGTCACACATTAAGACAACAGAAGTTGACTAATGACCAGTGCATATCCAGAAGGCTTAGGTTTTCCTTAGGTCCCAAAGACCATATGTAGTATTCGCTTATTACTAGAGTTTTCAAAGTTCTGTGTATTTACTCGAAACACCTGATTTTACCATCCCCTATTAGGAACACAAATGGTTAAAGCAAAATCTAATTCCAATAAGAGAAAATGCAACTCCTTACTAAGTGAATTATACAGAACTTCAACAGTTAAAAGTTGTGTGAAATACAAGTTAAATCATACAGAAATTTACGATCTCTCTCACAAATATTGATTAGCTCATGTAATCCTCGTTACTACCACATATACCGAGCAATAACCTCAGCGTAACGATAGGACTCCCAACCTTTTATAACGGAAAATTGAGACTTACATCAGCGAACTTGAAAAAACAGAATAAGAAACAACAGGTGGATGTTTAACGCTTTTCAAGTAGAGATAGACATGAATATAGATTGTTAGAAAGAAATATTAATTTACCATGTGCAGTGTCAATTTAACATTGAACTTAAGTAGTCCACACTAGCCTTACTACTTCAGCTGAACGGTATTCGCCAATTCTTCGACACTTCTAACTCAACCTTAAGGTAGCCAGGCAACCATAAACGACCTGCTGTGATTGAGAGTGGACAGACTTCAGTCTTCTATCCGAAATGCTCTTATGTGGCCAGTCGATCATAGTTTCTGTCAAGAAGGATCTATTCACTGTCTTTACTCAGCGACGCCAACTTTCATAGAAGTGAGTGAGCGCGAAAGTCTAACACTTACAACCAAACTAATGGAAATGCTAATCTAACTAGGGGAGCTAGCAAACCCTGAACCCAAACCTATCGTATACATGGGCTCTAGAATTCGAGGGGATTGAATAGTGTATGAACCTGTTTTGGACACTGGAAACAATGGGAATGCAGCTTCACTGCCTTATGGATCAGGCTCGCAGTGGGGGTGGGTGACTGCTTAAGATAACTGCCGGTATTGGTCTGGGCTTTACCCAAGCACCCAAACAAACTATGAAATTTTGTGTAGAGCATTTTTCGGAGCCCAAAATCTATCAGGCTCATTTTAAGGAATAACGTAACCAGCGATAGCAGAACGATACATATGACAAGAATAGGAAAACAAAAGTCCGAGTGATTATTTAAGTATGGGAATGAACGATGCGAATTCCAGGAATGAAATGTGACAAGCAAAGACAGCGACCTGAGAAAACCTCGGAAAGCATGATTCCTTTGTACTATCGGAAGAGTAAAAGGGGGTGGAAAAAAGGCGAAGTCTCGTTATTTATTTGGCCTAGAATATTTCTTCGTATAAAACCCGAACTACTTGCCTTTCCTATCAAGATGGAACATAGAAATGACGAAGTGTTGAAATTAATACGTATTACAATTCTGTATTCCAAGGGATTAGGACTAGCAAACGATATTGTGACACTACTATTGTAGTGAAATGACCATTAACAGAATCTGGAAGACTAACAAAAACCAAACTGTCAACGACATACTAACTCCTAAATAATATAAAACGTCCCAGGCCTCTAAATGTTTCACATACCGTTCTAATAGGAATGAAGAATGGAACGCGAGGATTTCTACGCGGACGAGCCACATTTCTTCGCCTCAGAAGATTTCTAGCATCACGAAGCTTTGAATTACGTTGTCGAACACGGTTGTGAAGCAGTGAACGAGCATCTGGTGTTCTGATAGTTAAGTTAAGCTTATTTCTTAAATCATTTCGACCGTTGTTAACTGTTGCGTTTGTCTTTCCCAGTCGCCTCCTAAGTCTATAATATATAACTAGGCAAGGAAATTACTTTGCAGGCACTGGCCTGAGGCGTCTTTCAAATGTAGCGTTCATAATTGAATGAAGTCTTTACTAACTCCACTGACATTTCAAACAATATGACTCGTAGTTCACAAAACAGTTGTAAGTTCCATTTCAACACTGCTTTTAGCAGTGAAAAACACCCATTTGGTTACTTCTTGTATAAGGTGTCTAGTTTTCACTTGAAATACAGATGCAGATATTTGGTTGAGGATGGGACTCGAGTCTATGTTAATCCTATTTTACCAGATAGGATCAGGTGATGCCACAGATAACATTTTGTTTGAGTGCTAGTTCAAAGAAATAATTCTACCTTGGGAATCTATAAGCCCTACACTGTACTAGAGGCAGTATAAACTCTAGGGCTAGTCAGTTGGCGGTTAGTGATTAGAAAATAAATGGGGGAGGACATGTGTATTTAAATAGGATATATGCTTTCTGTATTCTTTTTGAGACTTCTTTTCCCTACTGAACTGTAGCGAATGATGATTGCTTCTTTTGTGTAGACTAGGCTCACACTCTCCACTAGTGCACCAACATCCTAACAACGAACAAGTTTCAGACTATTTGTTTTCTTCTCAATAAACACGGGTTATCACCCGATGGATTTTTTTATTATAGCTTGACTCCACACAGTACTTTTAAGTTCAAGTATGGAATTTTCAGCATGTGATATCGGTAGCCCAAATTTCACAGGCCGACCAATGATATCAGGTGTCGTCGGCAGGGGTTCGAACCCCGGACCATGTGCATGGTCGGCGAGAGTCCTAACCGCTGTGCCACCGATTTGTGAAAATTGTGAAACGTAAGTCCGGTACAAGATGGAAAACAAGGCGATATCATTCGCCCTTGACTTTCGAACTCTTCTGCTATGCATTTTGATGTTTCTGTGTCGTAGCAATGAAATAAAATGATAATCAAAACAGTTTTCATGACATATCTGAAAATAATGAATCATTATCCAGAGCACAACACAACTTCCGAGAAAATCTCTCGTATTCGACAAATCATCTTACAAAGACAGAAATCTGGGACATATCCAAAAACAACAGGGAACTCATGGCTGACGTCCCCAAAGATTTCAGCGAAGCTTCCGAATAAGTTCCACACACAAGACTGCTCAAGATATTGGAGGCTTTTGGAATCAACAGTACCTTGCTTCACTGGATAAAGGCATTCCTCGTAAGTAGGAGAGAATGGATCATGAAGAACTCTAGACTCTCTTTCTGGACAATGGTACTTCGCGGAGTGTCACAAAACATCATACTGGACTCCCGCCAACCACCCATGTGGTCCAGGGTTTGATCCCCGGCCGACGTACTCCTATGCCTTGCTAAGCTGATAGTAGGGTTAGTGAAGAGGGAAGGTTGGGTATCAGACTTGCCACCCCAACCGGTAAAAACAAAAATAAACCCAGTCCTTGTGAAGATTACATCAATCCTTTACCAAGATCACTAGTGAAGTGTTTAATACTTCATTTGAACTTCTGACGAGGCCTAAACTAGAAAACTGCTTTCGGGAAACTAGCTCAAGTGTCAAGAGGGACTACTGGAAAGGATTTGAAAGAAGGACACGCATGTGATTTCTGGCATGGCTGATTTCCCATCTGAAGAAAAACTTGACGCACTGAACGACTCTTTCCTTATTATGTCTTAGGCAGAGAGAAGATCTAGGTACAGGCCCCCTGAAAGACTCAATGTTCGCTTCTGGCTGAATTCAACTACAGATAACACCAATGGCTGCTAGGTGGCCGCCTATCCTTCTTGACCTGAGCTTTGACCACACTACGTGTTGGCTCTTTAGCCTGGCCCACGTAAGCCAATGGCCAGACTGTTGATAATGCCGCCATAACTAGTGAGGGCAGAGCATAACGCTCACGTCTGTTCAAGGATGTATTTATTAACCGTAGTATAAAGAAGATATAGGGATATATAGTAGCACTTCAACACGCAAGTGGTCTCCTGTCCCTTGAAAATCAGGTAGTCTGCTGCGTGAGTGCCTTAGCACAGACAGGCAGATTGGTAACAGAAGGTGAAATTTTCGAGGTTCAACTCAACTGATGAAATGCCCTAGTCCCTTACAGCTCATCGATTTAGTGGAAAATGACCTACCTGCAATGGGAATCAAGACTGGTTACAATGGTATTCTTATTCCAGAAAGCAGAGTTTTTCTCCTTCATGGAAGTCCATTTGTGGAGTCCTCAAAAATAAACTTATCCAAATTTTACTATTATGTAAAAAATGAACATATTGTACACTACTTTGTTTTAACCAAAAAAACTCTGTACTTTGAACTTCCCTCGAGTTTTAAAAAATATATATAATTCTGCCTTCGACTCTCCATCTTCTCCACCATCTCAACTGCCGTCGATCAATTATAACAACCTGCTTTCTATCTCGAATTTTTGCAGGAGCACCGTAGCCTCTTCCTACGCACTTTGGTCGACCTCCGGCAACGTCAACACTGGAGAATTAGAACTGGAGCAGTCTTCCCGCAGCACTTCTGGAATCCATTGCGTTTATTGTGGAATTTGGATCTTTGTAAACCCAAGTAACAAAACTTTAATATATTCTTCCCGTAAACTCAATTGATTTGGTATTTTGTTTTCTATTCGAATTTGGGTTAATAAACTAACAGAGCAAAAGTTCCACGACACATTCACTGTGCGTGGCACTTTGTTTCGCCTTCCATCAGTCATAACACCACGCAATCCACATTTCTTGTTCTTTTCAACCTGATTTCGTCAGCGACTGTTCACATTATTTTGAGTTATGGGGTAATAGTTATCAGAATCTTGTGCGTGGCTATTATATTTCATCGGTAGCATTTGCTGCCCATTTTCACCTTGGAGCAATCAGACAGGCGTATTTTAGCCGGACTTTACCACCAGCGTCATATAGAAGCTATCTTTCCAGCTCACACTCGCGCTGATAGAGGCATTGGTAACAGTGGTACAGCTGGTCATTCTCTTTTACGTAGGACATTCTAATCGGAAAGTTCTGTAATTTCCTTCAGCACTACTAACACTCATACTAAATTGTGCTAAGGCGTTTACGGCGCCGATTACTTGCAAAGGAGTTCAACTGACACACGTCTCATGGAAGCACTACATTCAGTACACATAAACAGAATTGCATCACCACAAAAAACATCTATCCAGCCAAACCGGAGCTTACGAAGATAGTGAGTTATGTACCTTTGACGTCCACAGCTACGCTCAGAATCTTTAAGCAGTACGCGTCAACCTCAGTTAATGACTTCTGCCCAATACAGAAGTAACAGCTGGATTAGAGACTTCAAGGCTGTACACACATTTATGGAAGTCACGATGCACTTCACAAAGTAAAGAAAATCTCTCTACTATGAGATATTCAGAGTTATCAGAGAGAAAATGTCGTTGTAATCCTCTCAGCAGGATGTCAAGATGTACTGGGCATCAATCGCCCGACAGAAGCTCATACAGATGAAGAACCACTGCCATCTACATGGTAACCGCCAGAAATATCCTTGTCATCAACTCTTGAACGATAATCTGGTTACTTAACAATCTCTGAACGTTCTTATGATATATAGGATAGTGTAGGCAATAAACTGTCTTCTAAGAACACCAGATGACCTGTGCATAATTATCACTGCTGAAAGTCACATAGATTTCCAAACTACACAAACTTCAATTTTCACTCTTTTGGTATGAATCTGAAGCACTTTAACCGTATGCCAAATCTTCTCATGTTTCGTTTTTACTCTCAATTTCCGTTGTGTGCTAGAGAACATAGGACGGAATAAACAGAAGACCAAAACTGAAAGTGTGTAGAAGCCCCTTAACAGGTACGTGTTAGACAGGGCTTTGATGCCATTATTCTCTTCTTTTTTCAGCCGGCAACGCGCGCCTCCTCAGAGTTCATGGTTGGAACATGGCAGCTAGATAGGTTACTAAACGGTCTCCCCCAAATAATCTTGTTGTTCATCCCATGTAAATACACTGCTCATCAAAACATATGCCAGTAGTGGTGAACATCGCTTATTCGAACCAGTTTGGTGTTCACTATAGGTAACAATTCCTGTCATAATGTGGGGGTTTGATCGTTGACAGAAGACCAGGACAATACTATCAGAATGTATACCATACTGATGTCATTTGTACACTTTTCATTGTATTGACAGTAACCAACTGTAAATCACATAGTCAAGCTGCTGTGTAGTTAACTTCTCATATTAGCTTATACGTGATTGATCAATAAATATTCAACTTATCGAATGTCGTTTAATGACGCTTGCGTTGAAAATGAGTTGGTTACTATATACTTAAAATAATATTTTGAGTTCCTAGAAGTTGTCTCCCGAATACAGAAAATTTTCCTGATACCGTTATTGGGGGTTTCTGATCTGCTCATCTAGTGCTCTACGGTCTCCGAGTTCTTGTTTCATTGGAACTACTGGTATTTCCTGGTCTATTTTTCCCGGATTTACTCATTTAACGTTCTCCCAGTTCTGTTAGAAACTGCTACCAATGCTAGCTATTTTAATGCCTATCAGCCAAGCTTTGCTTACAGGGATACCGGTATCAAAATCAGTCCCTAATTCCACTGGAAGACGTAGATGTTGTGCAGTTTGCTGATTGTTAACGTCAGTACCAGGTGAATGTTGCGGTGCACGATCCACTTTTGGTGAATTTTCGCCTTATGAGGTGACAAAACTGTTGTTACACTTCATTCTGTGTTGGCTGCTATGGCTGCACACCTATAACCGCTATTTAATCGTAAATGGTCTCGAAATTTAGTAAACTAACTAGCAACAGGGGAATTACCGAACCTAAAAATGATGGGACAATTAGACTGCGTCGACATTTTACTAAGTCGTTTGCATTCACAGTGCACACTAGCCATGCCGTAACAATTCAGGATTTTGTATTTCACGGTCTATAGGAGCACCGAGCCCGGTACACTGTAAACTATAGCCTGAAGAGGCAAGGCTATACGTTTCCTCACTTCAGCAGCCAAGCAGTCAATGAGATATTCTGCTTTATTTAGGTA